AGAGAAACATCAAAGAATACATATGGTCTATAATTCTATGTACACATATATACATATCCATATAAGCATATATATGGAGGAGGGATATCCAAGTCTTGGAGGTTTCTAGTGTATAATCTGAATCTCCTCTTCAGAAGGCATGTGATGAGGATTATATGTAGGTATATTTATATAAGGCTAATAGCAAGAAACAAACATGAAATAAAGACTATACTAGACTATAGCTATTACTACCTAGATATTATCTCATAAGTACACTCTGAAAATATATACAATGTTATATGAAACTCTTTTAAAAATTTATATTAATATTTGCAATCACAACTGTTCCATAAATTAATTCACTCATTCATATTAAGAGAGAAAATTAGAGGATTCTTTCCAAAACTAGCCTTAAGTATACAATATTGAATGATGAAACTTATTCCAAATTTACCATAACTATACCATTTTAACAGTAAACAGAAAATTTGCACTTATTCTCCTGCACAATATTTGAGTCAACGAACTATCTTCTGAGAAAAACAATCATGCACTATATGTATCATTAGAGTGGTTGGAAACATTTTCTTAAAATAAAACAAACACAAAACTAGCAAATCACAGAACCTAAAAAGAGTATAAGAACTGTTTTCTAAGCCTAACTCTGGAATAATGACTTAGAGCCATTATCTTTAAAAAATAAAGGTTGATTTCAATTTCATATCCTCTCTGGAAACAAAGCAATTTCTCTGCTCAAAGTTTATACTATTTTTCCTCTTTCAATTTGAATATGTTTCAGCTCCCATAGGAACAAGCTTAAGTTTCCTGAACTTTAAATCCATTCAGACAAATACTATTAGATCCACCAGGCTCTAATGCGTTTAGAGACCAGGGCTCACAGCAATCAGGTCCTGTAACGACTTTTGAATTCCTTATTATATTTGAATAAAATAACTTTTTTTGTTCTTCAGAGGTTATAGAAAACAAATTTCAGTTTTTCAGAATGAACCACAAAGTACTATGCTAAGTAGAATTTAAATTTTAAATTATCTAATATTCAGCAATGGTGAATAAGATTTTTAAGACTTTAAAATCAAAAGCAAAGCTGGATATTTTACATTAAAATTACCCTATCACATCCTTGAACAGTCACTCATTCTGTGATATTATTCAAGAAAAGTATCTGCTGTGTTAATATGACCATAAATTCAACTAAAATTTTCCTTATACTCCCACTTTTTACAGATTCACTTTTAATGATAAGGTTTCCTCAGTGGCTGGGCAGTAAAGAATCCACCTGCAATGCAGGAGACACATGTTCCATCCCTGGGTTGGGAAGATCCTCTAGAGGAGGGCATGGCAATCCACTCCAGTATTCTTGCTGTGGAAAAAATCCCATGGACAGAGGAGCCTGGAAGGCTACAGTCCATAAGGTCGGAAAGAGTCAGACACGAGTGAAGCAAGGAGCACTGCAGGGCACTAAGTCTAAAAATAAAAGTTATGATTAAGCATTTTACCGATAGATCTTACCCTTTACTTTACCCAATGTATTGTTTTATTTCTCTAATACAAGGACCTGTTCACCTGGAAAATAGTTTTTACACACCTAAGAATACACTCAACTATAAAAATAGAAGGTTTACTTTACTAATTAATAAATCAAACTAAAAATTAAATATCTCATAATTATTATACATGTATCAATAGTTTAAAAGTCCATACATTATGGACAGCAATATAGATAATACATTATATGTTGGTAAAATGTTCAAGTAAAATAACCTTCACAAATTACAGTGCTGAGAAGTTCAGGGCTGGGATTTGAATTTAAGCCTGATGTTTCCTCAGACATAAAAAGTACACAACAAATATTGGTTGAATCAGTTAACGAATGGCTCCTAAATCTACCCTCTAGTTTTTTAAGGAAACTATTGTGGCTATTGGGAAAAGACAGTTAGTTTATACATCATAAATGTATCTCAGTCTCTCAAGTGTTATTTCTGAGAAGGGAGCCAAATTCTGCAAATATGTTTGGTAATTTCTCATAAAAGCAAAATTGAGCTGGTCTTAAAAAAATAACTGGTCCTTGAGTAAAAATATAAACCAAAATAAAAAGTAAATGAATTTGCTGATTGTTCTTTTCTGTTTGAGAGAATGACTCAGCTTTTGCCATAAGGAAATTTCAGCCAGTATTCTTTAAAAATAAAATTTATGATTAAACTACAACTATGATTAAAATGCAAACTAGCAATTTTTATAAATTAAACACAGATATGTCACTATTACATGTGCAATTTAGATATATAAATTTTCCAATTTATCCCTATACACCTCAGCTGAATCAACCAAGACAGAAGCCCTATGACCTTTATGCTTAAATATCTATTAACATAATTTCATCTCTTTAATGCTCACTATAAGCTTCTAACTATGTAAAGGAAATTTCTTTACTTTACAAGTGGAAAAACTGAAATCATAGACAGGGAAAACACTTGGCCAAGGGTGATTCATAAAGTCAATCTCAGAGAGTAGGCTGATATCCACAATCTCAAACTCACCAACCCAGTGGAAATACAAACCATATCAGCATTTTTTACTGTTCAGCTCCCCCCAAAACCACAACAGTAGACCTACCTTCCTGAAAAAAAAAAAAAAGTAGAGAAAACATGAACAATTTTAACACAAAAAAGAAAGGTCCTAATTACAGATAAGAATCCAGTTCCCAAGCTAGTCTGAAACTTGGCAGCAGCAGGGCCTTACCTATTGGGCCAATGTGTGAAATACTGAGATCACACAAACTTCTACTCCTTCAGGTGAAAAAGCAAGATCTATTATTGAGATCACTTTTGACAAACACAAGGAAGACATTTAGACCTATTTTCCACTTCAATTTAATGGCCTAATTCTGTGCTATTTGAGAATACCTAATTGAATTATTTGATTTAGGTGGAAAACATCTGCTCAAAACCCAAGTCTTCAGTTCTTACTGGCTATGAAAACAAAGAATTTCAAGGTCAAGGGATTGAAGTTGCAGCAAGCCTAGTCCAAGTTGGGGAGAGAAATAGCAACAAAATGTGGGTATCCCCAAAGTATGATCAGCACAAAAAGCATCAGGTCCCCAGCTATTCCACCGCACCACTGAGAGGGCCAATGGTCAGACTTTCCTCCTAGAGCACTTCTTTCACTCTCCTCTGTCACATCCCACTGCACTCTATGCTTAGTTTATTTTATTTTTTGGCCAGGAAGACTGATCTTAGTCACCTAAAAGTTCTCACTGCAAAAGAAACCCCTTGTTTAAACTCAAGTACAACCAACAGCTCCTTTCCAATTATCCCCTGCAACTTCCCGAGTCCCTTTTATGCCTGGCTACTGAGCTCAGTCTAATTTGGCTGCCTGCCAGCTTCCTCTCTTCTTTCCTTGTCAGTCGTGAAAACTTGAAAAACACTCCTGGACAGCTCAAGCAGACCTTTTAGTTATCCAGTGGGCCAGTACCTTAGCCTGTGTGCTGTTTCCAGCAAGGCTTGCAGTCGCCAGCGACTGCACTCTCCCAACTGGGTTTTCTAGCAAGGCTACTTGTTTATACGGTGGAAGGGCAGAAAGAATGGCAGAGAAGGGGGCGATTTGCAAATCTGAAAAATATCCAACTCCGTGTCTGAGTTTCCTACCTCCTCACATTCAGTTTATCTCATTACTGCCCTCCTTTTAGCAACTTATCACCCATTTGAAATCAAAGCCAAAATCATCCCTATCAGGGTCTCCTTGTAGTCCCAGAAATTAACAAGGGGAGTCACAACAGGAAACTCTCCAAAAACTTTTATTCTCAAGTGCTGATGCAAGATTTAAAAAAAAAAAAAAGGCAGGTCCCAAAATAAATGTATTAAATCCTTCCTAATTGCATTACTCTTTGTCAAACTTGCAGACTGAAACAGTGCATGTAAATTTGATTGCCAGTGAAAGGAAAGCCGGAGCAATTGGGAAAAACTGAGGACACAGGAAGAGATACCGTGACTGACACCACGCACTTACTCGGGGTTTGCCCCAGGTACTAAGTGCACCCGCCAAGCCCAACGCCAGCTACCTCTCGCTTACTCTACCCTGGCAGGCTAGTTCCAGCTGCGGCTTCCAGCTTCCTGTTCAAGTTCCATTCAACATCGTAAACACATTCCAAGAAACCCAGCCTGCCCAGAGTTCCCTCCCGCACACAGGGAACTCTGAGCTGCGGCCCCAGGAGCCACGGGAAAGAACTGATGGTGCTGGGTCCTGATGCGTGCAGGGAGCCAGCCCCCGAGGTGGTGAACTCCGGCGAGCCAGCTCGGCGCGGGCACCGAGAGCCCAGGGTCTCGTCAACCCACAGCGCCGCGCGCCGCGCTAAGGTAGAGCCTGCCTGAAGGACCTACTTGACCCACCCAGTCAAAGGGTAACCGTGTGGGCGCCGCCCCTGAGTTTGGGCCCTCCCAGCCCTGGGCTTTAAAGAATCGGCGGCCCGGCCTCGCAGCTTCGCGCCTCCCCGCCCCCATACCCACACACTCTGCTGGAGCCAACAAAAGGGAGGTTACGCTGGAAGAAGTTTCGCTCCTGGGTCGCCTCGCGGTGACCCGGCGATGACTTGCCTGCTCAGCCCCGTCGGTCCGCACACTCTCCGCCGTTCGGATCCGCCGGCGTCCCGCCAGCTCCTGCCCACCGGCCCCGGCCCCCCGGGACCAAAGTTACCACAAAGGGCTCCAGGAGTCGGGAGACCGCGGCGTTCCCGACCTCGGAGGCTCTCCGTCACCATCCCGGCAGCACTGCCACGGCAGTCGTCAACAGGTCTCAGCCGCCCTTCTTGCTGAACGACGCCCTGAGCTTTCCGCCGTCCTAATTTTTGCAACCTGCCCCGCGGCGGCACGCAGCGCCGCGCTACCCCTTCCTTCCCCGCCACCCGGCCGCGGCTGACCACCGCCCGCCGCCTCTCGGGATGTCAGTTTCAAAGAGACTGGAGGCTACCTGGCGGGACGCGCGGCTTCCCGGGAAGCCCTCCGATGAAACCGCGGTCTCTCCGTACCTTCCTGACGGATGCAGTCGGGTCAGGCTCCGGGCAGGGGCGTGGAGAGCCGCGGCGTCCTCGGGGCCGGGCGATCTCCGCTCCGACACAGCCGGGGCGCCGTCTCCGTGGCCGAGAGGGAAAGTTTCTCTACGTCAACGGCGAGCTGGCCTCGGGACCCTCCGGCTCCCGTCCCCTCCCTCGACGCGCTCGCGGCCCCCTCCCTCCTCTTCCTAATCGGCTGAAGCCGTTACTGGCGCGGGCTGGCGGCTGGGGCTCGAGGCTCGGGACTCCGGGTCGCTCCCGGCTGGGAACGCGGGGCTCCCCCTCTCGGCCAGAAGGAAAGTCTCCCAGACGCGGCTGGCGCACTTGGGGCGGTCTCCTTGGACACTTCCAAACGGGACGCCTGTGTTCCAGCTCGCTGACTTTCTTCAGTCTCTGATGCTCGTCTCCTATGGGCCCACTGGGTGCTGTGGCATCTGCACGAAGGACCCAAGGGGCAGAGGCATGTGGAGAAGGCTAGGCCTTACCCAACCCGGGTCTTAGCTGGCACAGAAGCCAAAACCCAGTTCCACCCACCCCCCCTCCTCGTTCCCCCGCCGCGTTTCCTTTTGAACCTCCTCCCTCAAGAACCGGGTCGCGACTATTAGCCTTCCCTTATCTCTCTGTGTTTCCGAATACAATTTTAAAACACTTTTGCTGCTTAACAAGGAGAGAGGGGGGTTAAAAAAAGTGTCAAAAAAGCACATAACGAGTAGACCATTGCAGCGTTTATCAGGAAAGCATTGACACAGTCGTTGCTGTGACTGACCGCAACTCTGCACTTTTTTCCATTTTTTTTCTCAGTTTTTAAAAACAGACTGAATCTCTGCACTTCTTTATGACTTAAAAAAAAAAAAGAAAGAAAACTGCCTCCACCACCAGATCATGCTCGTTTTCTCCATTCAGATATTAACCTCCAAAATTCAAGACTTCTATATAGGGTTCGAGGGAAAACACAAGAAACCATTTTCATTGTTTAAGCGATTATTTGGGGATGAGACGACATTTACCAAAGTTATGGGGGATGCTGCTAAGAATTTAGTTCTATATTTTTTTTTAATTTGAACGTGAAAACAGATGGAGAAAGGGGAAACGAAAAGCAGTTTTTTGCAGGACTAACAAATATACAATACAGTATATTTGTTATATATATATTACAGTGGAATCCAGGGCTTAGAATCAAACTAGTCATATTCTTTTCCAGATTCCATGCTTAACTCATTCTGTGCCCTAGGACACCGGGCGCAATCACGGCTGCCAAAAGGAATTATATAATAGAACTCACAGAGTCACAGTCACATTTACAGGAATTAGACTAATGTCAGGCACAGAGAAGGTACTCAATAAATATTTGGTTCTTGTGTCCCACTAGATTTGACTATAACTAGAAGATGGTACTGGAAATTTCCCCCAAAGACCTTGTTAACTAAATCAATTTTCTTCTCCCTAATGTTTTTTTTCCATTAGAAAAGATACAACATCACAATTAAAAAAAAAAACACTAAGTTTATGGATTACCCAGCTGCAGTCAAACTCCCTTTACTTTAAATACAAGCAACTGAAGTCCAAGAATCTTAATTGATTTTCCCCAAATCTCATTGTTAGGAGGTGCTAAAGCTAGGACCTGAAACCAGGCTCTTAGTAGGCAGAGTCCTCTTTCAGCTATGTTTTCCACTTTATATCACAACAATCAAGCAGTAAAATAATTGTATTTAAAACATTAATCATAGGACAAGGCTGGTTGCTTTTTCTGTAAATAACCTTTAAACAATTAATTTTCAAACAACCACTAAAAAATAAATGATGACATATAAGTGGTCAATTAATATTAAAATGAGTTTAAGAATAAATCAAATGATAGCCCACAGCATTGATACTTAGGAATAATGAGGTTGAGTTGACCAGATAACCAAATCTATGCTTATATAATTATAAATATATAGGTATGTTCTTTTAACACCGTATTTTAAAATTAAATATAGAACTCTAGGCTCCAAGGACATACCAACAAATCACTGGCATCTATGGACCTCACTTTGAGAAACACTAGTTTAGTCTTCAATACTCTGGCTCCACTTGAAAGAGTAGGACATAAGAATAAATAAGGCTACAGAACTCAAACATAAGCTCCATCGTTTAAATTAATGGAAAATTTCATAGCATGTACTTATTTCTTATTCATTTGCCTCTGATATCTTTAAAGAGAAGTTCTTCTAAACCTTTTCTTACCTTACTAAATGTTGAAAGTAGCCTGGACTTTTTTACATAATTGGACTTTTATATAATTCCCAGGTTCTCAGAGATATCTTCCTTCTGAGTAGGGATTATTTACTACACCAGCCTCCTCTTGAATTAGCCACTAAAATAATTTCTTGAAGGCATTTCTTAATCTTCTCTTTAGAGTTCTATACTCCCTTTCCATGAGACTTGGAAGTTACCAAAAAGAGAAAAAATTATAACCATAAAGTACAGCTATCATGGATGAATGAATGGGGACGCATGAATCCCCATAACTCTCTTTTTTTAATCATTACATACAGAGTTAAATATGACTCATCTTTATATTTCCTCCCAATGTTTAAGATCTCTAAACATGCTATTGCTCCCTAATTTTTATAACCTGACTTTTGATACAAAGTGCTTTATGAAATGTCTTAGAAGTACAAAAATCTCAAAGATGTCAGAACCAAGTTCTTAAAAACACTAAAATGAAATGGCAATCCACTCCAATATTCTTGCCTGGAGAATCCAAGGGACGGAGGAGCCTGGTGGGCTGCCGTCTATGGGGTCGCACAGAGTCGGAAACGACTGAAGACACTTAGCAGCAGCAAAATGAAATAGAAAAAGATTTAAAATCAGATCTATAGCATGCTCCAGGAACTGAAGATGCAGGGTAGCAAGAAGACGGGTTGCAGAGGCTCTGGCAAGGCACCACCATTAGAATGTGCCTATCGAAAAAGCAAGAGAGTTCCAGAAAAACATCTATTTCTGCTTTATTGACTACGCCAAAGCCTTCGACTGCGTGGATCACAATAAACTGTGGAAAATTCTGAAAGAGATGGGAATACCAGACAACCTGACCTGCCTCTTGAGAAACCTGTATGCAGGTCAGGAAGCAACAGTTAGAACTGGACATGGAACAACAGACTGGTTCCAAATAGGAAAATGAGTACCTCAAGGCTGTATATCGTCACCCTGCTTATTTAACTTATATGCAGAGTACATCATGAGAAATACTGGGCTGGGAGAAGCACAAGCTGGAATCAAGATTGCTGGGAGAAATATCAATAATCTCAGATATGCAGATGACACCACCCTTATGGCAGAGAGTGAAGAGGAACTGAAAAGCCTCTTGATGAAAGTGAAAAAGGAGAGTGAAAAAGTTGGCTTAAAGCTTAACATTCAGAAAACTAAGATCACGGCATCTGGTCCCATCACCTCATGGGAAATAGATGGGGAAACAGTGTCAGACTTTATTTTTGGGGGGCTCCAAGATCACTGCGGATGGTGACCGCAGCCATGAAATTTTAAAAGACGCTTACTCCTTGGAAGGAAAGTTATGACCAACCTAAATAGCACATTAAAAAGCAGAGACATTACTTTGCCAACAAAGGTCCGTCTAGTCAAGGCTATAGTTTTTCCAGTGGTCATGTATGGATGTGAGAGTTGGACTATGAAGAAAGCTGAGCACCGAAAAATTGATGCTTTTGACCTGTGGTGTTGGAGAAGACTCTTGAGAGTCCCTTGGACTGCAAGAAGATCCAACCAGTCCATCCTAAAGGAGATCAGTCCTGGGTGTTCATTGGAAGGACTGATGCTGAAGCTGAAACTCCAATACTTTGGCCACCTCATGCAAAGAGCTGACTCGTTGGAAAAGACCCTGATGCTGGGAGGGTTTGTGGGCAGGAGGAGAAGGGGACGACAGAGGATGAGATGGCTGGATGGCATCACCGACTCAATGGGCATGAGTTTGAGTAAACTTCGGGAGTTTGTGATGGACAGGGAGGCCTGGCGTGCTGCGATTCATGGGGTCACAAAGAGTCGGACACGACTGAGTGACTGAACTGAACTGAACTGAACTGAACTGAACTGAATTCTACTTACAGCAAATTTTCAGATTTCCATTTGAAAAGTCTTCACATGCATCATAGGAACATACCATTTGCTGAATGATCCATTATTTTCCCAGTGATCTTAGAAGTAATCCTTACCATATATTAATTTCGATATAAAATAGGGTCTGTTTATGAACTTCCAGGTGTGATAAAAGAGTAAAGAGATGCAATAAGACTCCTTCCAACTCCACCAAAAAAGGCGTTATACAGACTGAAATTCAACCAGGGTTCCTTTCCAGCCATGTCAGTGGAGCTCATCCATTAGTCTGTAGAAAGCAGAATGTTTTCTAACTTATAAAGACCATCCTCAGCCCATAGCTAAACACCTGCAGAGCTTCCTTGGAAGGGTTCTCGGTGTTTTCCTAATTTGCACAAAACTACCATATGGGCTAGCAGCAGTCCTTTGCCATTTATCTTTCAGTGTATTCCTGCAATAAAACATTATTAATTGCCTCAGCCTATAATTGCTTAAAATATGTGTTGAGTAAGTTCCCCTTAACTCCTCTTCAAAAGTTTCATCATTATTCTCTCGTTTATTTTTCCAAATGAACTTTGGAATAATTTTGTTAAGTTTCCTTATCATATCTTCTTCTTTCCTAACCTTTGATCACTAAACTCTTCTGTTAGAATTGTGTTAAATTTATATATCAGCTTACTTGAATCACTTCATTATTCAATTTTTTCTTCTGATCCTGAAACAGAAGGTGCATTTCCATCTTGAAAAGAGTGGACTTCTGCACCCACTCATATCATATCTTTACCTTCCAGCCCATTAGCCCATAAAACTGCCACTTGTTGAGCTCCTTGTTTTCTGCTGAGGATGAAAAGGCCTTTATTCTACAATAACTACAGAACACAAACAACACTTGGAATGTTGCAGCCTGACTTTACAGGAGAAAGGGGGGGAAACAAAGATCTTGATCCAGGTCAGGTTTCCACTTCTAGTTCCAGCTCACGTGCACCGGAGACTATAGTGAGTGCCTTTTGAGGAAGCCAGTCATGATCAAAAGAGAAACACTTGTAGCTGCTTTATGGAAAGGCCTGGCCTAATGACCAGGGCTGGTCTCCCGAGATATGCTCTCCTGCCTCAGCATTTGCAGGCCTGGAAAGTTTGCTCAAAGTAGTTTTATTTTCATGAAAAGCTGCAGAATTCAGAAGCTATTTTGTCCACTTGAAGACTCACATACTTAAAATACAAGAAATAGAACAAACAAATCTTATTGCAAATAGAATTAGGTTATTTTTCTTTTAATAAGGTAGGAAACAATACATTCTAGATTGTCTA